GGACTTTGACTGGTTGTCAACGGTGCAGAATGTCCGAAGTTTTCTAACTGACTACGCTCGGACCAGCAGGCTGCACAGCTGTACCGACCTGCTTGTTCACCTCATTACTGATCGCAACGCTTGTTCGAGGGCAGTGACAGCTCTATGCCATGTTTGGTTTCTGGATCAGACGACCGATCTTTCGAGGTTCCTTGACTGGTGTCAGGAACACATGTTTCAACTCGATGTGAGAAGAACTCGAATGTTCCCAGTTGCAGGAGAAATTTACCAAGACACTCCTAGTGTTGTCGTTGTGCAACCGCTGTATGAGGGAACTGTTCCCATCGTTGTCCAAATTGCAGATGCGGATCCAGAGAGCCCGCCATCATTCCTCGTTTTTCGTGCCACAGCGATACTGCGGGTTGCATCAGTGGTCCAATGGATCCAGGACCAGATGGAACTGGCTCCGAGCCTATACCGCTATAATGGCCGTAGGGTCAACTGGCATGAGGAGTTGGAGGCTCTAGCTGGAAGTGTCTTCTTAATTCAAGCATTTTATGAGAGGGAGCTGAACAACCCGATGACTTCTACGGAGTACACGGGAACAGGCAACACATTGCTCACGCATGACACTTGGATCTCTATGCAATCAAACTCCTTTTGTGCCGGAGCAACAAACTCTCGAGCTTGATGCACGCCTTCGACCAGTGTCTCAGGGTGACAGGTTGGAGCCTCTTGGTTCAGCTGCCCAATCTCAGTCGGACGACCCAGAAGAGGACATTTCTGGCTTCATGCAGCGTAGTACTGCGACACTTCGAGTGTCCACTTTCTCTACAGCATGTGAGAGAGGATTGCCATTTCTGAAGGTTCTTACACTGACAAGGAGGGCATTGACTGATCACTGGCAACAAACTGGTAGGGATGTAGGGATGTTGTTCATGACCATTTCCGTGTACGTGAACATTCAGTCTGGAACCTTATGGTCCTGGGATGGCATTTTCTGCACTTCGATGAGCTTTTCGGGATTGAATTCTCAGCTCACATGTTGCCCACTGGGCTGTGGGCCTCCTACCTCATGGATTTTTTTGAGCGGGATTCGTTTCGGAGGTGAGGTTTGTCACCGTTTTTCCTCAGCCTCACATGATCCAAGTTGACCGCAACGCTCGGGGCCCCCGAGATGTACTGGTGCTTGCTTTCACAGAAGAAACAGAATCGGAAGAGAAGCTAGCCCTAGTCGTGCAACATGGTTTTGATGGGGTCGTCAAGCATGTGGGCATCAGATGTCTTCCGGGATGTACTCCAAATAATCTCTGTGTGCAGTTGGGGTACCCAGATCGACAAACACATGGGCGTGTGTGCCATGTACACTTCCGATATGAAGAAATTGACAGAAGCTTTCACGGGCATGAGCGGCTGGGGCTGCCTATGGGAGCCTTTATTGTCCTAGAAAGCGATGATGCTGAGGAAGAGGAGGATGAGTGTCCTGGAAGAGTTGTTGGGCCACTTCGAGCACGAAACCCTCCTCTTTCCGGGAGATGCACCAATTGATGAACTCATGTTTTTGCAGCTCAAGACAAGACGTTATCCTTGGTTTTTGTACAAGCCTGAATGGCAACAGAATCCAGTGGCAGGCTTGCCGCCACCAGGGAATGGAAGGACGGTTTGGGAATCGCGTGATGTGCACGCTCTCGATGACATCATCATTGCAAAGGATGTCAGTCGAGTTATAGATGTACCGCGACCCACCAGTCGTCCGGTCATTCCCACACCTCTGCGTGGCAGAGGGCTTTCGTCCTTGCCTAAGGTCATTAGTCTCGCAGATGAGCTGAACTGCCCGAATGAGCGGCAGCCGGTGGTGCGCTCTGTTGACTTGGGGGTGTCGCAAAGGGATCAACTGTTTTTGCCTTGATTTTGATCCAATCTCCGAAAGACTGCAAACAGAGTTTGATTTGAGACTTCTGGATGACTCTGTACGGCAAGTCTTTCAAGATGTTCCCAAACTCGATCCAGACCGACTGGACCCAGATGTGTGCACGAGGGTCTCCTTTTTCACGGACGGCTCATGGGATGGCCACGCAGCGAGTTGGAGCTTCGTTGTCACTGCGGATGTTGAGGAAGTCACACATTTTGTTGGCTTCCAGAGCGGACGCATTGCACTGGATGAAGGAACTGACAAGGTGTTTGACTCGCATGGGTCTGCTGTCTGCGCGGAACAGCATGGGCTTTTATGGTCAGCATGGTGGGCTCTTCGTTTTTGGCATAATGCACTCCTCACCTGTCCAATTCTCTTTGGTTGGGATGCGCAAGTCGCTGGAAACCAGGCGAACGGGTTATATGGCTCAGCATCCATTCTTGGAGAAGTGTTGAGAAATGTGCATGCAGCGCTGGAGCAATTGGTCGAGAGAGATGCTCTCCACTATATTCATGTCCCAGCGCACCAGGGACATGTATACAACGAAATCGCTGATCTCGTCGCCAAGGAGGCTCGATCAATGACGTCATCATGCCCCGACGGAGGGAGACTATGCAGGCTTGACCAAGTTCTGCCACGTCTTCGGCACCTATGGCTGTTTTTCGGCAAGGGGAAGAGTACTCACATGGAAAGAATACAAGAACACCAAGTTCGACTATGAGCAGGTGTACGAGCAATCACTGCCAGACAGTCAGCAAATTTGCACGACTGCCTACCAATGGTGTCACCTTTCATGTGCGTCTTACAATGCATTGTCTCTTTTAGATCCAGTGAGCAGCAACAAAACAGTCATACGAGATGTTGGACGAGTTGGACTCATGCGAGACCAATTGGATCAACTGAATATACATGTAGCTGGACTGCAAGAGGCCAGAACCAAGGCAGGCATGATCGTGTCGACCACCCATATTCGGTTCTCGTGGTGCCACAGCCTTTGGAACACTAGGCGTTGAACTTTGGTTCTCAAGGACTCTTCCGCTTGCTGACATGGTTTTCTTTCGACCTGGTGATTTGCTGGTTCTTCATGCTGAGCCGCGGGAGCTTGTGGTCAAGTACCAGGGAGCACTAGGCACTTTTTTTGGGGTTAGTGCTCATGCACCACATACCGCTCATGACCTTTCAGAAAGACAGGAATGGTGGGAACGCCTTACCCTTCATCTTGAGAGATTCCAAGATCAAGGAGACGTTGTCATTATGATTGACGCCAATGCCACAGCGCCTCTCAGTGTCAATGTGCATTTTGGAGGACTTACTTCCGACAAGCAGGATAAGAATACCGGCTTGATTGAAGATTTTGTAGCTAGGATGCAGACCTGGGCTCCTTCTACCTTTGCCGAATGCCAGCGTGGGCCGACCTTCACATGGACGCATGCTGCTACAGGACAGCGATCAAGGTTGGACTATGTTTTGGTCCCACTTTCGTGGAAGTTGGCACATATAGCAGCTTGGGTCGAGCCCGACCTTCATGCAGGACATGCCGGGTTCGATCATGAGCGCACAGCCATATCTGTGGAGTGGCAGCAATTGGTCCAGCCAAGACGAGGCAGATCAGGGTTTGATAGAGATGCACTTAGGGACCCTTCTAATGCACATCTTGTTCAACAGATTTGGAACAGTTGCCCGGCTCTGGAATGGGATATGACTGCGACTGAGCATGCAGCCCTCTTGTCTGGGCATCTGAGCAGAGAACTGCACCGTCGCTTTCCCAAGAGAAAATATCCTAAGGGAGGCACCAGCATTTCAGATGACACCAGAGTTCTACATGCTAGGATCACGACCCTTCGTCGCAGCTTGCGGAATCTGTCCTCTAGGGAAGATATGTCCTTCAAGCATGTGTGTTTTCAAGCATGGAAGCAACTGGTGGATCGAGAAGTGACTCTGGATGTTGACCACAGATGGTTTTCCCTGCTGGCTTTGACGAAGGCCAAATACGCGAGAGATCTTTCCTTGCAGAGCGTTCGCTTTCGTAAGCAGTTGCTCCATGATCGTAGGATGTTCTTTGAAAGGGTGGCTAATGACGCCGCTTCTGCGCACCCTGCTGAGATTTTTGCTGCCCTACGGCCGGTGCTACAACCGACTAAAAGATCTAGCGCGGTAGGAACGACTCTTCCTGAACTGCGTGATGAGGAAGGGGAACTGATCCAGAGCCAGGCTGACATCAACAGTCGATGGGTTCGTCATTTTGCACAGCTGGAGGCAGGCCGACTTGAAGAACTTGATCATTATGTCCCCCAACAGCTTGCAAGACAGCAAGCTCAATGCAAACCGACATTCTTTGAAGTTGGAGATTTGCCGGACAGATTGGCACTCGAGCGAGCCATCCGGAGAATGAAATTCCGAAAAGCACCTGGTCCTGACCAGTTGCAGACGGAGCTTCTGAAACCATGTCCTGGCCACGCTGCAAGAGCTCTGTACCCGATCCTTCTCAAAATGGTTTGCCGACTGGAAGAGCCCCTCCAATGGAAGGGCGGAAGCATTTTCCCCCTTTACAAAGGGAAAGGCTCACATTCGGAATGCGAGAGTCATAGAGGGATTTTACTCACCTCAGTGCTTGGCAAAGCTTTGCGCTCATCGCTTCGCACCAAGTTAAATGAGCCTTACGTATACTGCGACGGATGACTTGCAGTTAGGAGGGAAGCCAGCGCAGCAAGTGTTGTTCGGTACCCAAATGTCTCGAGTCTTCTTGGCCAGATGCAAGAGACTTCGTAGAAGCTCCGGTATTCTTTTCTGCGATGTCCAATCCGCATATTACCGGGTGCTTTGACAGGTTGCACGGATGATGACCTTGCCATTGTCATTCATCGCATGGGACTTGGACCCTAGACGATGGAACTAATCCACAAGTCTATGCATGAACAGAGTGCGTACCAGTTTCTCGGTGCTGGAGCAGTGCAGCAAACTGTCCTCCAGGAAACGCTGGAAGGAACGTACTTCACCTTCTCCGGACAGGAGTTCGTTCGAACCCGAAGAGGGACTAGACCAGGGGATTCCTTAGCCGACATTGTTTTTAAACTAGTGTTTGCCAGGGTCCTTGCCGAGATCAAGCAAGTGCTACAGCAACATGAACTCTTGCTTGAGCTGCCTCAGAAAGTCAACCGCAACCACCTTGCTCCTTCGGCATCTTGGATCCCTAATCCGCTCTGCACCAGATTTGGTATGGACAATATTGTTTGAAGTTCCAGGCTGTTTTGAGTCATACAATTTGTCCTTGCAGTGGGTCCCACCGAGCTATGGGGAGAGACTCTGCAATTGCTGACGTCAAAGATGGGGCAGCGTGGATGCAGTTGGCTCAATCTCCGAAGCAATGGGCCAAATATGCCAACAGAGCGCTATTGCGGTACAAGAATTTCCGAATTAGAATGGCAAAAGTGTGTAGATCACACAAAGATGTGATTGATGTGCTCCAGAGGACTGGATGTGTTGCCTTGCGAAATCGTGTATATGCTGGGACGTTTCCTTGCTTGGTTTGTGAAAGAACCTTCGATGCACCTCAAGGCTGGTTTCTACATGCCAATGCTCGCCATGGTTTCGTCAGTGAGTCAAGTGAGGCTGCCCAAGGCAATACTTGCTTTTGTTGCGCGAAAAGGTACAAAACCACTGAACGATTGCGACACCATTTGCGCTATAGTGAAGCATGCAGAAGTTTCTTCCGTGAGCACTCAGACGCATTGCCAGAGACTGATCAACATTTCTCCAAGCACCCGCAGTATCCTTGGACTTATACTGAGGATACGCCCATTGCGCCTCCAGCTCCACAAGGGAGAGATCGAGCGGCATTCAGTGCTGCCCTTGATGAGTCGTTGCATGGGTTTGTCCAACCAGACAATGGAGACTGCTTTATTTCAGATCTTTTTCTTCACCTCCAGAACACTTGCAAGCGTGCTATTCCCTTTGGAATCTTGATTGAGACCTTCCAAGATTGGCTTGAGACGCTTTCAATCGGTGGAGATGATCGGATCATTCAAGCTGGACTCCAAGTATTGGATTGGATTGACGGGATTTGCCGACCAGGAGAACGTGAACAGGGTGAAACCAGTGATGATATTCTGGGTTCTGAAGGTGAACGAAGAATGATTCAATGCTGGCGCGGGTCGCAACTTCCTTGCGAGTGAGCTCCTGGTTCTCCATCTTTTCAGCGGCAGGAGACGCAGGGGCGACCTTCAAGCACAACTGGAAGGTTTGGACCTGCCGGAAGGGGTAACACTCACCGTCATTTCAGTTGATGTGGCGATCGACCCCAAACGTTGACCGATCACAGCAGAAGAGATGGTTCCATCTGATTGCTGATGGGCACATCGCTGGTGTGTTTGGCGGCCCTCCATGTGAAACGTGGAGCATAGCCAGATGGGTAAAACATGTCCAAGGGTTGAAACGGCCACCTCGGCCACTACGTACTGCTGAATGTCCGTGGGGAATGCTGGATGTGAGCAACCGCGAGCACTCACAACTTGATGTTGGGAATGACCTTATGATGTTCACATTGAAGGCAGCGCTTCTTCAATCTGTATCGGGAGGTTTCAGCTGGACAGAGCATCCGGAAGATCCACACCGATTGGGCACGCAGCATACAAAAGCACCGTCGATCTGGAACACGTCCCTTTGAATGACGCTCACGAGTGTGAAAGGAGCCTGAGGCTCCCAGTTTGTGCCCAAGGTTCGAACATCGGACGTGAAGGGGGAGCCTGGAAGACAGGCCACCTCAAGGAGTACCCGCCGTTGTTCTGCCATTTTGGGGCACGCTTGTTTGAGAGATGGTTGCTGCGCCAACCATCTCAGAGAAGAGGGTTGGAAGTGTGCACACTTTGGATCAGAGACTTGGTTCTTTCGATGGAAGACCAAGCTCTGGACGCACCCCACCCTGACTTCTTTTGTCCTAATTAAGAATTCGCATGCTAGACGCCGAGTCTTCGACAGACGCTTCGCGTACACTGAAATGAAATGAAGAAACTAACTACCTGGGGATGATTGGACCCTCTGACTAATATTTTTCAAGTGGGTTGAAAACACCAACCAGTCTCCTTCTTATCCCCATCCCGGACCGACAAGTGAACCCGGATCCGTCCCACCTCGCAGCCTCACCGTAGCGCTGACCAATACACCCCTTTGGAGCCAGTACCCTCGAAACTTCTCCCCAGTCCCACATCGTCGTCCCGCCCCGCACCTCGCAGAAAAAAACCACTCCACATGGCCCCCCCCCACACACACAACTGCCCGCCCCGCCGCCGGCGACGAGGCTTGGGCGTCCTGACGGTTCATTCCTTGACGTTTCTGGATCGCTGGAGCCTACCGCCCTACATGCCGCTCGGAAGACCGGCAGTGCAGCAGGACGGAGGAGGACGCGGAAAACCATGCAGGGCGGAGGAGGAGGACGGAGGCGTCGTCCGTTTGGCCAAAACGAAAAAGGATGTGAAGAGTCACCATGCTTAGCTTTTGTCAGGTTGTGGCAGAAAGTGCTACCTGTTCGTGGTTGAGTTGCTGCTTTCGTTTGCTGTTGAAGCATAGTTCTCTATGAGTGTTTGGTCATGGCATGTCGTGGCTAATTTCAGAACCACCGCATGGAATGTTCAAATGTAGCAGCCACCTTGGTTTGAGGTGCATAGTCTCGAGTCTCAATGTTCTTGTCAAGTTGGATGCTACTGCAGCGATGTGGCCGTTCTTTCCTTGAAGGCCGCAGCTGCATCAGCTCCAATTCAACACGCAGTATTGTTGTCTATTTGGACTATACCAGTTGCTTCCGTTCGGGGTCACCAATGGATATCTCCACACTACTTACAGGTCTCCAGACAGGGCACCCCGACAGGAAGCGCTAGGTACATTCTTAGTTCCACTGCCAAAATTCTGGCCATGTCAGACGTCAGACATTAGCGTGATCTGACCCACATCCCCTGACCCACATTGACCCACATTGGGTTTTGGCTCCAAAACGATGCCTTCAATTGATGTGTATACCACGCTGAGTGCCACGCTGGACTTGTCCGATTTCATCGAGGTACTACCAGCCGGATCGCAAGGGGATGCGAATCGTCAAGGACGCGTCGTCGAGTCGTCACACATCGTTCGGACCAGATGTTTCAGACAGGTTCGTTCTGATTCAGCAACAAAACACGATCATGTCTTGAAACGGGGGAGAGAGTCCCTTGTAGATCTTGTAGCATTTGATAGATTTTGATAGTATGCCTGGGAGACAGAATGCATGAGAGTTGATGTTTCATGATGTTTCTGTGTGCTTCTTTCGATTTCAATCTTCGAAGCTGAGATAGACCATCCGACAGCCGGACCATCCGACAGGTCGACGTTGACCCGATTCACATCGCGAGAATCGCTTCGCCATGCGCGCGAGTTGCATCTCGTCCCAGGAGAAGCTCCTAGATATGCACCTCCATCCGCTGATTGCCTGGCGCAAGATCGACAAGGACGGCGTTTTCGGACCTTTCTTTTTCGGAGGAGGTTGGTCTTCGGCGGCTTTCACGGCGCAGTATTTTCTCACAGAGTGGATGGAGGCAGCTCCAAAAGCTCCGGAACGTTTGATTTCCACCCGAAACCTTAACATAATAAGATAATAGAACCTGAAACTTGTAAAAACTGAAAGATGATATATGCTCCTCTATTAACAAAATGATTTCAGACGCTTTCAGACTAAACTTCTATTGCTATAATGTCGACATAGTTCTAAGTGACCTCCCCTTATTAATCAAGCCCAGCTCAAGCCCCCAATACTAAGCCAATGTCAAACCTGAATTCCCTAATAAAAGTGGTCCTGGGCAGAAACCTTCCCCTAGTGATCAAGCCCCTAGAAAATTAAAACTAGTGACTTCATTAGTAGTGTTTAAAGATGTTTAAAGCTGCAATCAAAGCTGCAAATGTTCTCCCAAGCAATCTTTGTTCCACAATCCCTAGGAACCTCTCGAGCAAAATTATGTAACTTTTCCTTATTGAAACTCTATCAAAATCTCAAGGTGTTCAAGCTCACACAGGCCTCAGTGTTCACACAGAGTCATATCAACCATCATCCATCATCATGTCATCACCTTGATTAAGGGGATGTGGTCTCCAATACCTCCAATCTCAAACCTTGTTGACCTTGAGGGGGGGTTGATTAATCCTACGTCGACATTACCGTATACCTTCTGTAGGTGTACTCTCCTGGTGAACCAAACAATGAAAGCCCAGTCTCCACGGCTTGGAGACTCAGCTCTCAGCTTCCGTCGCATCGTCTCATCGTCTCAACCCGAATGTTCAGGACGGTTCAATGCGCATCTCCTACGATGAGTTCCGCTTCTACCTCTACGACATGATCTCCACCAACAAGGCGTGGCAGGACCTCGTTCGACGCCGGCTAACGGCGCCGGACGGCCAGAACTTGGCGGGTTCTGGGTGCACAAAGTGCTAATTACGCAGGTATACACCCTGTTCACATGTTTTCACAGTTTGTTGGAAAGAGATTCTTTTTTCCTCAACTCCACACGGTGAAGATTTCAGGATGTATAGTCTGTCTCTTGCTTCCTCAAGACGAACCCCGGAATCCCATAAACCGTGAATCCCTCAAATCATGTACCAAGGAACCACAGAGATATGTTGGGCTTCCCCGGAAGGGCTCGCAGCCAATGGCTATAGCGACATGATGACAGAACACACGGAACAGTTCAGTTGAAATTAACTGTCAACCGGAGTCAACAATATCAATAGTGATTTTTTGAGGCTTCAGTTTGAGGTCACTTGGCACTTTCAAGAGCGAATCCCTTAAGGTTTTTAGGGAGAACTTCGGGATGCACCCGTGAAGAAAGTGTAACAAAAACAACTACACCCCCACTAATCCCAAAGTCTCTCTGTCTATCCCAGAACCCCCCCTTCGAACTATAGAGCCGCCTTCCGTTCCAACTCTGCGGACTCTGCGTCGTGCACGTCGTCGTCGATGCCTCGTGCAGGCGCATTGCTCAAGCTTGCCCGGCTTCCCCAAGATGGAGAGCGAGATCGCAGCGGTGTGGCGCGCCATGGACAAGGAGCCACCGGGGCGTCCGTGTTGTTCGGTCGGTGTGTGTGTGTGTGTGTGTCACACCCCGTTTCGAGGGGTCTTTCCAGCAGGGGCGTGTGACACTCTTATCCTATCACACGCAATGAAGCTGTAGAAAAGAGTGGGAATGAAACCTTGGCCAGTTTCCTGTATTTGCTGGTTTTAACTGTTGACCAACTAGTGCTTGTTTGTTGTGGTCCGTTGTTCCAGGAGGTGTTTAGGTCTTCAGGTAGCCCCCAAAACCCGCAGTGAGGGCCGTCAACCTGGTTGCGATGGCCTCCAACTACTAGCAATGGCCTCTAACCCTGGCTGTCTTAAATGTTTAATTTGTTGCGTCACGGCTTGAACAATACCTATGGCAGACTTTTCACATGCCGTTCCAGCCAGTCAAGGACTAAGTATTCATTCCTGGTCAAAACACCTGTTGCTGACCTTTCACCTTGCGGCTCCATCCAAGGGCTACCGAATCACTCCGTGGACCACTTACTGAAATTGACGTTCCTTCACCGGAACTATCAGTCTAAGTGTGCGTATGTGCGTGTGTGCGTGTGTGGCACTATAGTTTTGGTGAGAATGGCAATCCTTTTCGGTCATGTCATTTTCATGTAACCATGATGATTTCAGGGAGTGCAGGAACTGTTTGAACAGACGAATCCGGAGTGAAGACTGAGATGCGTGTGAGTCTTGACCAACTGGCACAAATCGGTGCTGCACCGCTGAACGTGTTGTCCAGGTGTCCTGTCTGGCAGTTTCACTGTTTGTGCATGCTGAAAGTTTCGACGACTACTAGGCTACACACTTGGCTTTCTCTCCATGTTTGTCTAGTAAATATATAGATATACCAAAAGTGCTAGAATTGTTACACCGTCTTCCAAAATGTACATTTTTGAAACATACATACTCCAAAAAATCAATTATTGCATCATTAAATAAAAGTTACAATTTTACTAAATACATGCTCAACTTGAATTTCTCCGGGTTGATTATCTAGTATTCATCATCAGCAAGCATGGCTGCCCCCTCAACCAGTTCCGAACAACTCCAGGCACGGCTCGGTAGAGTCTCCATATGGGCCCAATGGCTATAACATATAATAAGTCATTGAAATGCCCAATGCATGCTCAAGTAACACCATTACATGCTCCTGATAGCCGCTCAGAATTTTACAATTATTGCATATGATATCAACTGCTCAATTGGTCTATATGCACAATGGGAAGGTCTTCTTCCACCGAGGCGGCACCATAAGGGATATCGCGTTCACCATTTTTGCTATTACATGTAGTACATGCTATTACTCAATACATGTGTTTTTACCTAATACATACTCAAGATAAAAATTATTACATCAAAATCAAAAATGTACCTTTTTTAATATGTACAATTTCTGGTTGATACGGTTAAGCTGGTATATACATGCGCCTAGCCGCTAGCCTTTAATCACTATTCGAGAGGGGGGAACCCTCCAGAATTTACTAGTAATAAGTTTTTGGTCCCCCTGTCCAGATCAAGGGTCAGGGACCCTTCACAATAATTTTTGCGATGATGTCAGCAGGGGGGTTCAGAATAGCTTTTGGCTGAAGATATTGTCCAACCTTGGTAGTTTCTTGTTCTTAGTTGCGATGGCCTCCCAGGAGTGCACGGGCTACATTGAGCTCAGGGACTGGGATACCAAGAGCCACGAGCACCTGGCGGAGTTCAAGACCTGGGCCGATAGGTCCGCTCACCGGGCCCGATCACCGGGCCCCACGTGTTGGTTGGAAGAAAGCGTGGTGACCGTGGGTGTTGTGAGTGGAAGGTGGATAAGGTGGAGAAGGGCGAAGGGAAGGGAAGCTTTCCGTGAGGACATAAGAGACAGGTGTTTTGGTTGAGAGGTTGGCTTTCAAGCTTTGGAAACATTGGTTTCTCGTTGTTGGATTCTCAAATTGTTCTTGATTTGTGTTGTTTTTGGTATCATGATTAGTATTATGATATGATATGCCCAGACGCTTCAAAGAGCCCTTGGTCCCTCAAAACCATAGGGATTGGTTCGGGTCCAGACCCCTTTTCCCCAAGGATTCGGGTCTGACCCCTGCATAGGATTTGGGTCCAGGGTCGTGTCTGGATGTATCATATATATATATACATATTATACCCATACACTCCATGGGACTGCCATAGGACTGCCGATCAGTTGGAGTGGTCCCAGGGGGGCCAATGGATCGGCAGTCCTATGGCAGTCCCACTAGTCGCGTTTGGGTTACGCCACCATCTTCTGAGTCGACTCGACTTGCTTCGTTCCATTTCTGGAGGACGCATGGGTCGGCGGCGGTGGCCTTCCGTGCGTTGGACACCGGGGGAAATGGACAGACGTCCAACTGCCGCTTGGTCCGACCGAGTTGTGGCTGGAGGGGAAGGTGTGGGCCCTTACGAAGGTGGATTCCTTAGGGTAGGAAGAAAGGGAATTGGTGTTGTTTTGCTGTTTTGGCATGTTTTGGCTGGATTTTCCCGAAGGTTTGGCTGGAAATCGGTTTGGTTTGTCGAGATGATGGTGTTTGCTGGACTACAGGTCTTGGAGCTTGTTTTGAAAGACAACACAATTTGGGGGTGATGATGGCTTCATGGTGGTGACTTGGAATGAACCCAGGGTGGGAGTTACTACGATACTATACGATACGTACCGTACCAAGCAAAGTGAAAAACTCTTGAGATATAAGTGAAAGTGGAGTGAAAACCACCTGTTTGGTATTCGGATTTCATGGTCATTCGAAACCGGGGCCGTTTGCCATCCATGGTTCCCATGATCAGTCCAAGGAAAACAGGCTGCCACCACGGCATGGTTAATAGGATGGCAGGAAAACAGGCTGCCATGACAGTATACTGATGTTAATGGCATGATGAATTTCTCCACGGCTTTCACTGTAATTGTTCAATCGTGCTGCCACCAAGTCATACAGCAACGGAGATTTCACTCACCCGTCGCAATCTGATCCTTCGGATGGTTTGCATCGATTGTGGCCCTTGGGATTTGACACTCGTGTATTCTTTTGTTGCGGATGAGATGCTCAAAGCTTGGTGGAAGGTCTAGGGGTGAGCTTCTGCACCGATTCGTGAAAACGACTCGTAACTCAGCTTCTCCACCGATTCGCGCCGAGCCACGGCGGCCATTTCGATTGGTGGACATCCACTGACGGCGACGCCGCAACGCTGAGGCAAGCTGTCGCGAAAGGAGCTCGAGAGATGTACCAGGGGCGAGGACCCTTGTAAGGCTGGTATAGCCGGTGTTGGCTGGTTTATTCGGAGGAACTTTGGAATTCAAAGTAGCAACGTTGTTGTTCATAAGGTTTTGGAGTCTGGCTCTGCAGTGTTACTAATTTAGGAGAAAGTTTTTTACCATTTACCACCCCGCAGGCCCTATATTAGTTTGGTCATCCATTTTCTGGCTCTCGGAGCTCTCCCTCGTTTTTCGTACACCAAAAACCCACCGAACAACTCACTCCAGCCTCGCACGCTGGTTGTCGTTCGGTCCGACCATAGAACGCACCGCATCACGTCCGATCGGTGCAGCGCAAACGCACCGCGGTACCGGTGACATCCTGCTTGCCAGGCAGAGATCGAGTTTCTCTTCGATGGGTTGGATGTGAACCAGATCGAGTATTTGTACCCATAAGCCAGACACTCCATGGGACTGGCATATACTTACATTCACCATCATTCACCCCTGAAGCCACCCCAAGGTTGGCAAATATGCCAGTCCCATGGAGTGTTTGGGATTCACCAGAGCCGCACGCCGCGAAGCGTGGAGCGGTCGAGTGGAGCGGCCGGAAGAAGGAAGAGAGTGAGAGAAAGAGTGAGAGTTGTACCAACACTTGTACGAGACTTTTTCTGTGAGGGTTATCAGATGTCATCAGTATAATGCCTGGATTTGCAAATCGGTGATGTTGATGTTCCCGCCTGAACGTAGTAAATCCCCTTCTGTGGAAGATGTGCTATTTTGTTTCGATTCCAGCAAATCCAAGTGAGTGTACACAAACACTCCATGCGACTGGCATATTTGCCGATCAGTTGGGGTGGCTTCAGGGGGTGAATGTATATAACTTAACTATACATGGAGTGTTTGGGATACATTTAAAGCGAACGACAAGCAGACACCGTCGGTACGATCGGTCACCTCCAGGTACGAGGCAGACGTGAAGTTCTTGGATGGCTGGGACCTGGCTTGGGCGCCTCGGACCCAAACGTACGCGCGCTGGATCTGCACAGAACGGAAGACCACTCTGATGAACACATCAAAAATGCATTGTGCCAGGACCTTCAGTTCGTGATCTCTGACTGGAGTCTCTGTTTGTGACCTCTTTAGGGACGATTCGTGACCTCATTCTAGGATCTCAAGGACGGTCATGTACTGAAAGTCCTGGTGCAATGGCATGGTCGTGAAAGGAGGACCTATGAATCTTCTACGAACAGTCGGAGAACCCCATTCTCCACTTCCATTTGATGTGTTCGTCGGGGGCAGTCTAAACGGTCTGTTAACGGTCTAAACATGTCTAAACGCTCATTGGGTCGAGCGAGACAAAGTTCCAAAACGCCCAAAAGGCACGAGCCATTTGACAATATGTAGATGAAGCAACCACAAGAGAAAGGTGAAGGTTCATGAAGATTCTTTGATTGTGAGTTAGCTGGATTCGTTCAGGCTTGTATATGCCATGCATGCGTGTCCAAGGTGTTTCGCATACGACCTATCCCGCTTCTTTGACACTGGAACAACGCACCGACCCCAAACGGTAGACCTCTTTGACACTGCGGTTGCTGTCCGATGGCAGGAGGAATGGCAAGCAGAAGCTGAACGAAAGTGGGCGGAATCCGTCTGAGACCCCGGAGCCACGTCGAAGACACACGAGGATCGTGGCGTCCGCCAGCGCACCGAGACACGCGAGTAGCGCGTGAGGGAAGACAGCAGACATCGGTGCGACGGGGTGGTGTTTGTCGGAGCCAGGACACCTCATCGTGGTCTCAGTGGTCGCCATGCAGCTCTGACGCGTTCAACGCAACGCGTTCTGTAGACAGTTCGGAGCTGGAAGATCCAGCGATACTTGGGAGAGAGACTTGAGAAGTCTTCAGACGCCATGGGACAGATGACACACCATGCCTATAGCTCTTGGAACCGGAACTTGTTTTCTTGGTTCAAACATGTTCAAACAAATGAACTGGAGCTTCACCATGCAACAAACTGAACGGTGTTTTTCCTGTTTTCGGCTCATCCGTGTGTTTTTCTCCTGGCTGGGTGTTTCATGACTGGATCGGCATCCATCGCCCTTGGTCGATGCCAAGAAAAACGTGTGTTGCTTCGCTTGATTGGCACTTTCATGGAAGCAATGCGCGAGAGAGAGTCACATATTTCATGGGTTTAACTACGGCTCCAACCATGTCCTCAGGTTCGGGGGTTAGACCCCCCTGGCATCCACCCCAACCACCTTACCTCAGGAGGTGGGCCAGGAGCCCTAGGGATGAATCGTGTTCTTTAAATCAACGCCTGGAAGCTTTATGTTGGGTCCAACGACGTCAGCAGTATCACTGCATTCTCGACGAGAAGGCAGAACGCAGCCGACGCGGCCAGTCACGCAGCACCCGTCTGAACGGCCCGGTTCGCAACACAGAGGGTTTGGTTCGGGCCCGGACCCCTGCGTTTCGGTGTTGGCTCCGATTTTTTGCCATGCAGAACCCAAGGATTGTTAGGGTACGAAGACACTCCAAGGATATGGGCAACTGACAAAGTCCTACCCCAAAACCATGCAATTCACTCGAAGGTATTCCATGGTCGGGGACTATAGCAGGTATGACAGGTATGACATGGTCGTTTCCGCCAATGTGGACTGGCAGGATGCGGGCTCGTATCACCCGGGCATCGATGTCCGGGACACGAGGGGCGAAGATCATCGATTGCCGTGTGGCGTACCGTTGACATCGACCCCAGCAACCACCCCTGGCCTGATCTCTTCTCACCAAATAGGGCAGTCACAGACAGGTCGTGTTGGAGTTTGATTCAACTTGGAAAACAGACACGAGCTTGTATGACTTGAAGATGGTCACACCATCACATGGCCTTGGGAAGACTTTCGCATCCACACCTGGTGTACTCTAGCTACACGAACATCCGGGCGTCGGTTTCTCTCCCAAACGGCTGCGCCAAATGGCCACTTCCCTCTCCAAGGGCGGCTGATCGTCGCGGATGTTCTCCTCCCAAAGGGATGACCCCGCGGTGACCCGTCCGGCGAAAAACCCGTCGACGGCGGGGCTCCACCGTGGCCTGCAGCAAAAGACGGAATGCGGTGGACGCAGTCCACGTGGTCGATGGGTGATGCGGTGACGTGGTCGACGAGACCGGTTGTGGGGGATGTGTCCATCCTCCAGGACCTTGAGTTCGTGACCTCTGTTGCGACGTCTCTCTTAGTGACCTCTTTAAGTGGAGTCTCGAATTAAGTGACCTCAGCCACTAGGATCTCAAGGACGGTCACGTCCTGAAGGTCTTGGCTGGTTTTTGTTTGTGATGATTCTGTCTCTTTTGCAAGTGGGTGAATCCTTTGGGATTGAATACAGTTTAGTTGTTCACCAATTTCTGAAGCAAGTCATAGCAAGTCCAAGTCATGTACAACTGGTCCATTATTCCATTGCTCGGAATGGCCACTGAAGAACCTGTGAAATAGGGGGGAGGATTTTTGGAAGATGTCCGTCAACAAGAAGTTTGTCCGATGGGTCCTACATGGTCCTACCAATAGTTCATTGATGTTTTCCAGCTTGTCCCATATTTTCAGCATACCTGTAGATAGACACGCGCCCAAAACCCTGGACCCTACCGGTTTCTCACATGTTTGACCACGCAACTGAAGGAATCAGCCAATGGATATGGCTCAAAAAGAGTGTATACGTGCCATCCAAACCTTTTGGCAAATGGAAAGGTCCAATAACACCTCCAGGGTTAATAAGCGGGGTCCTTTTGGGCGGCTCGATGGGGAAGAGAATCGAGAGCACCAAAAAGACCCCTCCGGTGAGGTAGTGAGGTAGTGAGGGTAGCATCTTGATTGAGGATTGGAGTGTTTGGGCGAGGATATGTACTAGAATTCTGGAGGTCAATCGATGTTGGTGTTTTTGAACTCAAAGGGTTGATTGTCGCGGTATCAAATCGTGTTCGTTGATGGAAAGCGCCGGTCGTTCGTTGCTGAATCCACCGCCCGGCCGCCCAAACGGTTGGACACACATGCTGGCGATCCGGTAGCTCGCCAGCGGGGACAGGCATCATGAAGGCATCACCAGAAAATAAACATGGAAGCAAGGACACCAAATGCCGAAAACAAAGGTTCTTTTGACGAGCTAGAAAACCACCAATCGACTATCTAAGACCTATATAGTATACGTCACTATAGAAATGTCCAAGCCAAACAGAATCATTCGCAAAAAAGAGTTTGGTCGCGGGTTTCTCCCATGCGTTCGCTGGTGAAAAAGTTTGGTCATGGTGTGAGGTCTCACGAGTCATGTTCACTCTTAGTCTTTTGTCGGATGCATTGAGATCTAGACAGGTCTAAGGCAGCTTTACTCAGAAGACCACACTGGTTTCTGAGTGCGTTGCATCCAGTCAAGAATCACAGAAAAAGGTGTCTTTCAAAAGAACGGGAGTTCCGAAAGGAAAAGACAGACAGGCAGTGGCGCAGTCCACCGTAATACCCCCCAATTTTGCTGCGACTCGCAGCGCAGATCGTCCCGATGACCGAGGGTGAACTTCCGGCGCCTCGGAGTGACGACCGGAGCGGTGGTGACCGGTGGTGACCAGTTCGGCGGTTCGGGACCGGCTTCGGCTTCCCCCCTCGGCCCGGCCGCGCAAAGGCGGTTTCACGCGAGTTCCGACGGGTCGAGTTGGGGTGTCGCATGGGACACGGCCAGTTCGTCCTTTCGGGGTGTCGTGTCGCCGCAGGCGGATCACCCGGGATCCGTGGAACGGTTCCATGCTTCTGGAAGAAGGGAAAGGCCACCTGTCTACAGTCTACCCAGCGAGGTCCATGGAGATCTCCATACTAAAAACATCGCCATGTTCTACGCCCTGAAAGACTCACATAGACCCTGAAAACCACTGGTTGGTAGAGGCAAACACTCTTCCAGGGGGCCATTGCCAGGGTCTATGTTAGTGTTCGGGAGTGTAACACCAACGAATTTGTTCTCTTAAGCAGTGGGTCATCGAGCGCTCCGTACCCTTTCATGTGAACCAACATGAAGAGACTCAGGACCATCCTGCACATGCTCCAACTTCGGACCCTGGTAGTCGCTCAAACGGATCATGTGCTTTTGAAGCGACCCTTTTGAAGCGACCGCCGCCGACCACGTCTCGATTCTCGATCGACCACGTCTCGATCGGCCGTTCCCTTCGAGGCGAAGTCTGAGACGCCGGGGATAGGCCTCGAGGCCAGTCCCGCCGCGGTCGACCGTGGTGTGTTTGTTGGCCTAACTTGCAGACGTGGGTCGGTGGATGTTCGGGGAAAGACCCCTTTTTCGGGGTTTTGGAAGAACCAGGTTCGGTAGATGGTACCAGATCGACACTGTTTTTATCATGTCCAAATCGGACATCATTGGTTTGTTTGTACATCAGATGTCGTGGGAAGTCTTGCGTTTGGCGATGAAAGCAAACATACACCATCTTGAGTTTGGTGATGTTTGGTTCTTCACTCCGCCTTGACCGGCTTGACCATCTGCAGAAGCCATGGGGAGTTCCGGATGTCAAGATCTTTTGCATAAACAGTATTTAAACTTCATGCATCAACAACCGGACTTCAATGCAGCGTTAGCTTGGGGAATCCTGCCACAAGACCTGATTTGATGTGTGTGTGTGTTTTTTCTGACTTTTTTTGGGTAGCGCCTGGATTTGAACAGCGCCCATCCTGAAACAGATCTGTTTTGGTGTCACGAGAGAAAGGCAAAGTCTTTTCAACGTTGTTTTTTTCCTGAACAAGTTACATTGTGCAAATGATACTTCCTAGAAAAGCGTGCAAACTCGAAAGGCAGGCCAAAACGAGACGATATCCTAAAGTCAGTGCAATTTGGCAAAGCCGCAGAGAAAACGATTGTTTGGGATGGCTCCAAAATCAAGCCTCAAGTTGGAAGCATTTACGGTATTTCTCATGTGGTTCCTCTTGAACTTGGCTGCCTTGTTTTTGGCTGCTCAGGCACCCAAGGAAGCGGTGGCTGAGGCGGACACAAACGTCACAACTATGGTGTGGGTCAACGTTCATCTTGGCGGAAAAAAAAACAAGTTGGACACATATATTCCCTTGAAGTTGAACCTCCATGTAATGTTGGATGCTGATTAGTAATAGGGCCCTCTATAATGCTGAATTGTTCAAAATAAAATCTTGACCATGTTTGTTTTAAGGGTTCTCTATTATGCTAAATGTTTTTGGGATCCTAATTCTTTGTTTTAAACATTGGGTTTCAAATCCTTCGGAGATCTGTGAATACTACTAAGCCAATGACTGGCTTGCTGAGATTATTGATGATAAGTATAGGTTTCTCTAGTTATTCTTCGAAACTCACAGCTTCCCAAAGCCTTCAATTCCTCAATCAATCCTTTATGTAAAGATTGCTCCTAAACAAATGTTCAAGGTATAAGACCTCAAGATCTGCTGAAGATCTGAGACTGCATAGGAAAAGAGTTGCGGAGAATATCTAATTACAAAGAACCTGAGAGAGGATAATGAATACTACAATCAATTACAAAAGGAATCCTCCCAGGAACCCAGATTTTTTGGTGGTAGTTTATTGTAGAAGGTCCCCCATTTGTTTAGAGGAAGGGGGGGCCTTTTACTCATCAGGATCCAACATTAGCCTG